AAGTGACTTGTTGCACCTTCTCAGGCTCACATTCTCTGCTGATATGAAGTGGAAAGACTATATTGAATCCATTGCATGGTCGACTACTAAGAAAGTCGATTATGTTGGACAATTTTTCTCTCCAGAATCTACCTTATATATCTATAAGTCTACCATTCGTTCATGCTTAGAATATTGCTGCTACATATGGTCCGGTGCCCCTGCTATATACCTTGAGCTCCTTGATAAAATCCAAAGAAGAATCAGCAGTATTATTGGCCCCGATCTGGCAGCTCGGCTTCAGTCACTTTCCCACAGCCACAAAGTTGCCTGCCTGTTCCTTTTCTATAAATACTTTCATCATGGTAATTGTTCAGATGAGCTCTTCACTATGGTACCTAGACTTCATAAAGTGCAGTATTAGACTGGCATCAAGATCTCATCATTTTACAGTTGAGCAGGCTAGATGTCGTCATTATTTCTATGCTAACAGTTTCTTCTCTCACACTTCTCAATTGTGAAACTCCCTTCCGGCTTCATGCTTTACAGCCAATTTTAATCTGCAAAAATTTAAATGCAATGTCAATTACTATCTACTGCCCACCTGATTACTTTCTTCTCTTTCTGCTCATCATTAATGTTTCTGTTCCTAAATCTCTCACACTCTGTAACCTCTTGTGTTTTTACTGGCATTACTGCCTTGCTTGGGGTGATTCCAATTAAAAAAAAAAAAAAATGTGCATTCAAGAGTACTTAATATAGGATTTGAACCTACATTTCACTTGTATGGAAAAACCATTGTTAAGCCCAGTGTGCTTTAGAATGCTCAGCTACAGAAAGCTTACAGTCAAGCAAAGTCCAATTACTCTATTTCAGAAATGCACATCTCTTGTTCAGACCACTCGAAACCCATACCTGATAACTTTTATTTTTATATCCATAGCTGAGCAGTTTAAAGCCTGTCAGGTTTAATAGAAGGCACATTTTCTTTCTTAGACTCTCAAATGCACAGGCCAGTAGATGTAAATTCACACTGTTTAAAAAACACGGATATCTACTCAAATACTTTTATCAACTAGATGTATCATTTAAAGTAATAAAAAATATAGACCTGTATATTTTAAAAAAAAAAAAAAAAAGGATACAATTTAGGCACAATTAAAATATTAATCATTCAGTGATATAAAATGGATATAATTTAGATAAACTGAAAACAAAAAACATGTGAAGACGATTCCATAATGAAAAAAAAAAAAATTGAATGATAAATAAACTCCTGGCAAGCAAAATTTGATCCTCTAACAAAATCTCAAAACTCAACTTTAAAAGGATCCTTTCAAGAATGTCTTAAATATTTCCATCATATACTTGAAGGTCTAAAACCATGATCAACTTTGAACTTTATATTTTCCTGTTAGCAAAATTATGATTACATATTTGAAATACATTTGCCAAAAACCATTCAAAGCTGATATAAGAGAATTAATTTTCCATCAGTAACTTACATTATTTCCTGACTATTGACAATACCTTTCTTCCTGATTCCCAAACATTTTCAGATTAAAATTATTTACAAATCATTTCTATAGTAAAATTATTAACAATGTATTTACATCATACATATTTTGTCAATAAAACTTGCATTAATTCCCGACAATCCTTTTCTTTTTGTCAATCATTCTCAAATTATTTACATAGTTTAATAGTAAAAACCAGCAATACATTATACATATAAGTCATATTTTGTCAATAATGCTTGCATTAATTCCTGACCACTGACAATCTCTTTTTTCTTGATTTTTAATGCATAAAATACAAATTAAGTGTGAAGACAATTTGACGACAAAAAGTGAAAATTTTGGTGCTTAATTATCAGCGTTTTTTTCTACCATTAGAAATACGTACTTTGTAAGTGCAAAAAATACAAAAGTAGATAAGAGGAAGTAGTGGTAAAGTCAGTGGGCAGGAATAAAAAAAAAGTTGAAACCTTGTCTATGTATATCAGGACAAATGCTACTAAAATACAACCATGATTATAGCTTCCTTTTTTATTCCACAAGAATTTGTCCTGTTCCTCTATAAGTAATTACTAGAATGAATGCAAGGTTATTTTTTTTCTGTTTTTGTTTGATACATCCTACCTATGATATCTTTAGATAAAAACTTAATTAGCCTATTAATATTTTTTGGAATTTATTAAATTTAAAATGTTGCTATGTCCCTAAATTTTTTTTTCAGTTTGAGACGGAACTTGTTCTCCAGGAACTGATAAGATTTTTGGTATTGAGCAGAAGGAAAGAACAATGTGCTGTTAAGCATTGTTAAACTTTGATGTTTCCAATACACACAACTTAATCACCAAAAATTGCAATAACAATATAAAGCATGAACAGAGCATTCACATCAACAGCATGTGCAAAATAATCAATGTCTAAAATTTATTATTTCTTCAGCAGCAATATTCACAATTGTCTTAAAGTCAGATCCAATGTAAAGCCTCCAAAACTGTCGGACTCTACCCCAAACTTTAGCTGGGTAGCAAGGACTGTCAATACCATGAAAGATCCTGGCAATACTATGACCTGTAAAATTATGTTCATGTGCATAAATGGAAAGAAATCTCCTGAGATGAGAACGGATATCTTCTGTATTTACTTCCAGCTGTGGAGGATCAGTAGCACCATGGGAAGGGTCCACTTCTTGACAGGAGGTTTTATCAAAATATTCCAGGATCAGATCATGTAATTGGTTATTTCTTTTCTCATCCATTTTGTCTTGGCAGGCATAAATGCTGTTGTAGGAGACCGACTTGAGAGCTTTGTGGATACAGTGTATTTGGTTCAGTTCCAATTTTTCTTGTGTTGTGACACGTTGATACAGGTTCTCAACAATGTTGTCTTGTTCTTCATCACTCAGATCCCCTAAGACCAAAAAATGGAAGGAGATGTCTGAAAACTCTACTATAACACCACTTTTCTTACTTCCTAAAACACTGTCAAAATTCCACTGAAGCATTTTGAGTTCTCGTTTCACAAGCCCTGAATTCCAGCCCATACTATCACTAAGCTCAACCACTGGGAATTCAATGAATGAACTATTAGAGAATTTCTGTCCTTCAAGTTTCTGACGAGCAATAGCAACACCCATAGGAGGGCATTTTTTGGCAATAGCTTGCAATTGGGCAGGTCCTCCATAGCAGTTCACCTTACAAGTGGCATAGGTCAGTGGCAAAGATTTTACAAGACCTTTAAATGCAAGTTCCAGATAACAAAGCAAAGTTGCAATATTCTCTTGCTTCAGGTCAAGTTCATTCACAAGTGGGTCAATTGGCACAGCTCTTTCATGACCCTGGCATATACGGTTCCCATGATGGAAATCAAGGAATGTGTTTGAGTTTTGGTCAACAGATTCCCCATCCAAATTCTCCTTTTCTTTCTTTATGCACTTTTTATGAATTTCCTGACAACGACAAGGCTTTAGAATTTTTTGGATAAACTTCTTCACAGTAAACCGACTGACTGTATTTGAGTAAACATGCTTCTTTAGTTCACCCAGGTCACTGCCATTAGCATCAAGGAAAAGATGACAGTGTGATATCTTTCGGTCACGGCCAGCTCGTCCTATCTCTTGCACATAACTCTCAAAACTCTTGGGCATGTTGTAATGAATAACACCACGGACATTTGATTTATCCAGGCCCATTCCAAATGCTACAGTAGCCACAATAATCCATAGCTGGCCAGACATAAAAGCATTTTGAATACGTTTCCGTTGATATGCAGTTAGTCCAGCATGGTATGCTTCGGAAATTAACTTTGGTTTTAATTTTTTTTTCTTTTTGGTCTTTTTCTTTGTTTCTGATTCTTCTGTTTCTTTAAAAAAGTCTAAGAATTTTTCTTTTAAGCAAGTTCTTACCAATATGGCTATCCTTTCTGTCTGGTCTCTACGAGTACAATAAATAATAATCGACTCACACTTTGAGAATCGATTTCCCTGTAGCAGTTCTATAAGAGACTCATCTCGGTATGAATCACTTGACACAGACAAGATTAGGTTTTTTGGCACGGGAGTTCCTCTGATGACAGCTTCATTACAGTCTTGGATCCAAAGCTGTTCTGCTATGTGCTCACTTTGGGACAGTGTGGCAGTGGCTGTCAAACCCAGGAAGCAATTCACGCCAAATTTATTCTTGAGGACTTGGCAGACTTGCAGGTAGGAGGGTCGGAAATTATGTGACCACTGTGAAAGACAGTGAGCTTCATCAATACAGGCAAAAGCAATTTTGATATCTTTGTTCAACTCTGACAACACTGACTTCTGCCTTCCAACAACTGCCTCTGGAGAAAGTAACAGGAAATGAACGCTGCCATTGTTCACTGCAGCAATGACTGTATCCCTTTGAGATTTGGTCATATTTGTATGTAGACAGGCCCCATGAATTCCAGGAGGTAAACCATCGATTTGGTCTTCCATCAAGGAAACTAAAGGGGAGACAACTATTGTAATGCATTTATATTTTTGGCTATACATATAAGCTGGTAGCTGATAGCAAAGAGATTTACCACAACCAGTGGACAGGATAACCAAAGTAGACAGGCCACAGAGAGTTCGCATGATTGCTTCCTGCTGACCCTCTCTAAATTCACTGAAACCAAATTTTGAAAGAGCATGGTAAATTTCTTCTGTAGTCTCAGGTAGAGAACCATCATTATTTAAAGGATAGAAAGGTTTAATACTTTCATGTGTTGTTTTTGTGTCGAATTCTTCCATACGGTTTCTCACTATTGTGCTCTCAACATCAATATCCACATCTACTGAGTCTTCTTTGGTCTTAGGGAGAATCACCCCTCTGGCCAGGGCAGCAGCCTCAGCAACTGTTGGATATTCTTCTTCATCCACAGAATCATTTTCCTGTTGCATCTTGTTCTTAGTTGTTTTTACTCCCTGTGAGTTAGTCGAAGCATTAGTACATTTACTAGCCCAATGTCCAGACTGACCACATTTAAAGCATTTATCACCATATGATTTTTGTCGTTCCCTCTGTTTCTTCTTCCACTGCTGGCGTTTGTAGATGGCCCCTTTAACTCGTTGGCCCTTTTTAGAATAGCGTTTAACTTTCATGTTAAGACGGACAAAGTTTTCTGATTTATTAATTTGTGAAACTTTTGGAGGAGCAGAGGGTTTGATGGCCGTTTGATTTTTAACTCTCTTGACAGAAATGTCTTTAGGATCAGCTTCATCTGTAGACTTTTCAGTCTCTGATAAAGACTTCTTGCTTTTTTTAATTACACTGTTATCCACAAAGCCATCCTCAAGTGGAAGGTTCTCGGCATTTCTAAAGTCGTCGTAAGCGATTTCTTTTCGTTTAATCCTTTTCACCATAGCTGAAGATTCCTTGTCTGGAGAAAGCATCCTCTTTCTTTGAGGAGTCTGGTCATCAAAATTTTTAAAATTAAAATCTTCAGTTCTTGTATCAGTTACTAAACTCTGTGAAGAAAGCAATTTTTCTTCATTGGAAGAATTACTGGATTTCTCATTAATTTTCTGCCTAGAAAGGTTACATGCAGCCAAAGAAAAGGAATGTTTATTGGGAATAGCACTGTTTTGACAAACATTGGCTTCGTCTTCCTCATTTTGCTTGGAAATAGTTCTTTTTGGTGACAAGATGGAAGTTTCGTCTATAAGTTTTGCCCCAGATTTCTCCATATTGTTGGAGTCAAGTGAAGAAAATGAAGCTTTTTGAGGGCTTGATGGGGTAGCATAGAATTCAAACCCAGAATAAGGACTGTTTGTGTTCTCTTCACCTTCGAGAGAAAATGAAGATGAAATAGAAAACTTACGTTTTTGCTTATGCTGGAAAAGATCAGGAGTAGCGTTCTTAAAGGATTTCTTGGCTTTCAAGCTTTTTAAAGGTGTAGAGATGTTAGGGGTCATTTTAAAGAGACGAGGGGAGATTACTGGAACTGAATTATCATTAGAGACAGAATTTAAATGCTGTGGAGTGGAAGGTTCACAGAAATCATCACGCCTTGTAGTATTTATATCTTGATTTGGAATAGAATCTACAGAATGGTTCAACAAAGAATCATCTTGGCTAGCCAAAAATTTTACCTCTTCTGAATCTATACTGATTTTACTCCCATCTGAATAGGTGGTCCCAGATAATGATCGATGCCTTGTAAGTTTTTTCAAAGCCTCACATTTTTTGGAATTTATAAACATGTTGTTGCTAAGCTTTTCTAAAAAGTTTACTTTCTTAGCTTGCTCTTTTTTAGCTGCTACAGTTGTTGATATAGCCACAGGGGTTTGGGAATTTTTTTTCTGCTCAAAAGAACGGTTTAACATCTGGCCCCAGACTTCTTCTGATTTGCTCTTGCAAACAGGAGTTGCTGGCAGCTGAAGTTCCGCTTTTAATTTGTAGTACCTGCTGTAAGCACTTTGAACTTTGTCCGAGGCCAGGCCGATATCTTCCCGGTTTGGTTTCCGCCCATTTTCTTTGAAAAACTGATACTCCCAAGTTTTCAAAGCTTGTTTTAATTCTTTCAAGGCTTCCATCTCAGTCGGGATGAATTCTGAAAAATTACAATAATTCAATTGAAAGAATTAGAGGGATAAGCTAAAATTAATACAAGGGAAGGCTAAAAAGTTATCAGCCAAGAAAAAAAAAAATTCTAATGTTTGGCTTTTTGGTGAGTTTTGGGGAAGTGGTTCAAACTGAAAACTTTTCAGTACTCACAAACAAATAGTGATATTAGTAATTTGAATGAAGAAAGAAGAAGCAACAACAGGCACTTTCATTTATAGAAAATATTACAGCAAACCATGAAAGAAAATGAATTATGGGAAGGAAGGAAAACTATAAAACTCAGCTGAAAATAAGAGTTGGTGATTTTGTTCATTTTGTATGAGAAAGGTTGTGAGAAAGGAAGAAAGACATTTGAGAGTAAGAAAGAGAGAGAGAGAGAGAGAGATCCTGGGAGAAACTCATTTTTTTTTATTTCTATTTTTTATTTTAAACTTTCAAACCACATAATTGTTAATCATTCAGAGTTTATGAAATTGAGAAGAAATCACAAAGAAATGTTTAAATATTTCTTACATAAAGTCGAGTGTAACTTATGTTTTTACATTTGTGTTTTTTGTAACTTTCTATTTTACCCTATCTTAGCAGTTCTTTTATTATTTTTGTTATATTCTCTCTATCCTAACCTTTATCCTTCACCTAGTTGTGCTATGGTTGCTTATCTAGGAGCTACTTAAATATACAGGTCCACTCATAAAAAACAGGGGAAAACAAATGTTGTAGTTAGACCTTCCTTATGCCACAACACTTGTTAGAATAGAAAACTATTGATTTTCTATCGTTTTTAGAAGTCTATTATATCAATACAGTGTATGTTGATTGACAGATTTGTTCATTTAATGGCATATCAACTCCCTATAGGTCATTTAATGCCAAAATTTAATTTTTTTTTAGCTTTAACCCTAACACAGTAATTTTCCTATTTTTAATTACAATGTTCAGTACCTGATTTTCTTACCTAAATAATATGTTTTTCAGTCCCTATTAATGTTAACTCAAAGTACAAAGTTTGAAATGCCTGCATGTAAAATATTTCAAATAAAGATTTATATTTAATATTTTTTTTTTGATATTTTCAAAATCGGGTATGACATACTCATGGTTAGTAGTGGTGTAACTTTAATTGATGGTTAGTTTTCTAAGGTTAAAGTAATAAGAATATATGTTATTCTGCTTTCACAATTGAATACATGGTAGATGATACTCAGCTTTTTTGCATATACATGTCTGTGTGGACATGATTACTAGAGGCAGTGATATGTGTGTTTTAAGTTATAGTTTTATTTGTTTAATGGCATATCAACATCCTTATGGGTCATTTAATGCCAAAATTTAATTTTCTTGGGAGCATTAGTAATTTCTTTTGTAAAAATGTAATGCTGGTAATTTCCCTACTATGAAAAAGTATTGCTGGTACCTTCACTATAAAAATGTTTTTCTCCACTTTCATCGTGTTTTGACCCCAGTTTGAATGTTCACTATTTGCCCATAGCTGGGACTCAAACCCAGAATAAGGACTAAACCTGGAAACAGCAATTAAGAGGTGGTCCCACACACCTCAAAACCTCCTGATCAAAGGCCTAGCTGCCAAATGTAGTTTATTGTCATATCCAGGATGATATAGTTTTGTTGAAGTTATATTTTGGAATACAGTTTAAGAAATTGTAGGATATTACATCAAATAATGTCATGAAAAAGTTCTTTCATGTTGGCTGTTTGATTTCGTTTGGCGGCATTATGGGTCATTTAATGAATGAAATCTCAATATTTTGTACGTAATTTTATGCTTTAAATTAGATATTTTGTACACAATTTTATACTTTCAGAGTAAAGGTATGTTTTTTTAGATATATATTTGGTAGATCATAAAATTTATTGTTGGTAATTTTACTATAAAAATGTGTTTTTATATTTTTTAGTGTTGCATTGTCATTTTGCTATAAAAATGTATTTGTGGCCATTTTATTATAAAGATGTACTGATGATTTTTATTTGGTGGGGTGGGTACACTATTTGTCCATAGCTAGAACCCTAACCGGTGCCACCACCCCTGGTCAGGATGGACCTAGGAATAACAGCAATTACGAGGCCTTGCTACTGAATGTAGTTTACCATCATACCCAAGACAAAATATAGTGTAAAATTGATCCCTGACTTTCAGAGTTAGTGAAAATTAGCAGTTTGTTTACAAGTATCAAGTTTACAACTGAGCTTGCATCACTGATATCTGCATATGAAAACACATTTTTATTTTACACAAAAAATTTCTTTTAAATAATGAACAAATGGATATACACATTTCTATGTGTTTTATTTTAGAAAAAAATATTTTAAACAAGCAATTGTTTTGAAAAAAAATTTTTTTATCATTAACATTTAGCACTCTGCATCATAAATATTACTTCCCCTTTTACTGTATATGGAATCCCCTCAAAATATAGTGTTTTATATATTAATTCTATATATTTGAAATTGCAGTAGCTTAGTTCTCAAAATTTCAGTCTAGATTGTTTTAGGTGTTGCCATAGAAGGATGTGACTTCACAACCAAGAAATTCAAATTCAACTTGCATTGGCAAGATTAACATTTTACTTGGTGAAAATAGTCACTTACAGAGGACTAAAGGTTAAAGAAAAAACAGATGTTTCACATTTTTAAAATAGTGCCACATTTTTAATTAAGGAACAAGCATTTACATAAATTAAGAAAAGCATCAATAAATTAAGAAGATACCAATTAAAAGCATTTTCAAGGCACAACATCTCTACATCTGTAAAAAAAATACTAAGTAGAGATAACTTTGTAAAAATCAGGGATAGATTTGATACTTTTTTGGTATTATGAACAGGACTCCCCCACTTTCTAAATTGATAAAAGAAATCAATATTTCTTTGATTTTGAAAAAATGTCTACAAAAATTATTCCCTGGAAATTTTTTTCCTATTTTTTTGAAAAGTGGACCAGTCTATTTAGATAGTGCCTCTAATAAGAGTAGAAAACAATGCAGAATAATGTATTGATTCTAACGTTGACAAAAAGCAGGTTGTCTCAGCTGCTGGTATACAAGGACTATGTATCATATATCAAATTGAACAAATATTTTTATATATATTGTTGTTCATTTTCATTTGCTATCTATGATGCTATACTTTCATTTATACAATTAAAGCACTTTTTACTGGTTGACAAAACATTTTCTTTCCAACCACATTACCTTGATCTAACCTGCATTTGATTATCTCCCTTTACATATCCATAAATATTTGTAGTGACCAATTATCTCTCTTGATTTTGAAGATTACTTTAGTAATATCAATGGCAAAATTAGCCATTTCCTTTTAAGGAAACATTCGGCATTCATTGACTAAGCAGGCACCACTGCTGTTATTTGAAATTTATAAAATCTTTCTCTTAAAATAATTTTTCAGGAAAATAGGTTTCACAAGTCCAATATATTGTATTCTATGCTGTCTATTGATCCCCATGCCATTACATAAAACGGTATCAATGAAAAGGGCCATTTCTTTTTCTCATTCATTTTATTAAGAGAGAATGGTGGCAGCTTAGATTCTATGAGGCAGTGGGAGGAATGACATCACAGGAATACATGTCACACATTGGCTCAGCATCCCTCTGTGGATGGTCTAAGCTGGTCGCTAATCTGGGTGTGGGAGGTATATCTATGCTCAAAAATTCTTGTGGCCCTCTGTTGAATTCATGCCATTTTGAACTTATATCCAAAACCCAAACAAAAGTAATCCATCAATGTAAAAATACCACACCCACAAGGCACTCTGCACTCTGACCATTCTGGCCCTGGCTTTCAAATTCTTAACAAGTAGCTAACATTGTTCTTTCTAATATTGATGGGGTGTTCCTTCCTAACCTTTTGTTTGAAGTGTGAAATGTTAACATCTTGATTATGTCATTACTTTCTCTTTGAGCTACACATGCTATCCATTTTATTTGTTGCTGCTGTTGAAAGTCCTCAAGTGATGTGGTTTCAGTTATTTGGTACCATTCTTTGTGATTTTATAGTGCCAGTTCACAATATTTGAAAAAGGATGGTCTTCACCAAAGTCCACAGGCTTCACAAAAAAACTTTTTTTAGGAAAATAATGTAAAATAATTAAAAGGTGAAAATAAAATAATTAAAAATAATACAATACACTAAGTTTGTTTATTGCTCTTTCTATTGAGAAGAGAATATAAAAATTTATATAAAAAATGTAAATTAAATAAATTATTAATAAAATGTATAAATAAAAAATAAATAAATATTATAATAGCGTAGGTTTGATTATTACACTTGTTTTTATGAGAAGTATTTTCAAAAAAATTAAAAGAAAGTCAGATAGTAGGAAATTAACTTCTAAATTTGATCTGAAACATTTGAATTTTTTCTAAAAACAAAATAGCCTGAAAGAAAAAATAAATAAAAAAATAAACACTGCCAAAAATAGGTCTGTCAAAGGTAGACGGTTTGTAATTTAATTTCTAAATTTCAAAAAGATATTCACCTTTGGATTTTTTGATTAATCAGAAAGGTGACTTCCATCCATGCAAATTTAAAATTTGAGACTTGTGTCTAGAGCCTATTTTGAAGCTATATAAAAAAAATCAAGTTGAAAAGAAAATTTCAAAAGGTACAAGAAAATAGGAGGTACCAACTTTGTTTAGGAATGAAAACCACATTGTATTAAAATCCATACTAGTTCACCTGGTGTTAAATGCATATTAAGCTTGAGCCTCAGGTCATCCTCCAAACCATACATTAACTGTCCTTTGAGGGTAGAGTTGGGGTCATTACCCACTTCAATGCCTGAGGGGAAATGCTGATGAGGCTTCAACAATTTTTGCATGACTACCAAATCTCACTTCAAACTAGACTGTCGCATTTTGTATGACAGCATACTAACCCAGAGTGGTGTCTCATCAAATAATACCTCTACTTTTGAAGTGGGCTACACGTTACAGTCATTACCTGGTGCCTGACGTATTCCCAAATGGGAAAGTGTCAAGAGGGCTTCAGCAATCTTTGTCCCTAGGTCATGTACACTTAACTTTGTGTTCCCTTCTATTGAAGAGGATGTGCAGATAAATGCCCTCAACATATTCAATAGGCTGATATATACTGCCTCTTATGTGACGGTACCTCATACATTGATATTTTTTATGCAAAACAGCAAGATGACAATATTTTCTTTAACAAATGTTGAGCTCAATTTACTTTTCTTCAATGAAAACATTGTATAACCATGTATCACTGAACTGATATTTTACTTACATTCTGATCTTAAAAATGAAAATAAGATAATAACAGTAAAAATCAATTTAAATTTTCAATATTTTTTGCTTTTTTAATTTATTTTTAATGATAATAAATAGTTTCAATATTTTTGCATTAAATCGACTTCAGTGCGAATCCTGAGTTTTTTTTTTAACCCTGTAGAAAAAAATTAACCGAGTATAGTGCCACCCCTTCTTATCTTTTGCTGCAGGTTTGCATTAAAAAAAAACAAAAAAAAAGAACTGATCCTAAAAAAACTCGTGCTATACGATATTTGATCAATAATGAAGGATTTAGGTAGGACAGGTGATAAAAATTTTGTTTAGATTAATGAGAAGACAATAATAAAGATTTTGCAAAAATTCATTTTGTAAAAAAAAAAAATTAGATAAAAAAAAAACAGTTACAAGATTAAATACATGTTTTACACATACAGAAAAACAAAGAAAGAAATAAAAAAGTAGTTTGAAAATTAAATAAAATTCAATTTTTCCTAATTGAAATGATAAAGAAAACAATGGCAAACTAAGACATGCTGTTTATTTTTGCAAAATGTTATGTAATAAATAAATAAAGTAAAACAAATAAAAAGAAAATATAATGAAAAAAATTAATTTTAAATTAATTTAAAAAAAGCCCAAATTATTTTATCTCAGCTTCAAACTTTGTAAACTAAAAGCAGAAAATCCCTTTCCTTTTTTTAACCATAACTTAACAGTTTTAAAAATTTTGTTCAAATAAAAACTTTGTTTATGTCATTCAAATTTAAGAATAGTACAGCGGCAAATAAAAAAAATAATCTTAAAATTATTGTATTTTGAGGCGTGATACACATGACAAGAATTTTTTTTTTTTTTTTACTGGAATTACAATGTTTTAAATGTCTATAAAGAAAAAAATCTACGGTCGATACTTTTATTTAATAAACCAACATTTTTGCTATGGGCAGAGGAGACAGCTGTGAACTCGGGTTCAGCTTGTCATGTATACAAATATTGATTCTCTAAAAAAATATTTACTGATGTATAAAAATATTACCAAATTCAATAATTTTCAATTAACTGATTCACACAATACAATTATGAATCCAACCAAATTGATTTTTCAAAACTTAAATTATTTTTAAATTGATGAAACTTCAAACTTACCTAGAAAATCAGTTTATATTGATTTGTGGCCGGTGTTTCCTGGGTTATCAAAAACTGACCGAATAAAAAAAATTGATAAAAATGAGAATTTTAGTCTCTGCAGTACGAAAATTAGACATTTTTTTTTAAATCGAATGATGCTTACTTATCTCTTTAATATTATAATTATTTTTAAAACTTTTTTCATCGTAAAAACAGATTTCAGTGTTTACACAAACCATCATGTTTAATATTTAAGACATGTAAAAGTTCATAAGTTATTTACAATCTTGATTCATCCAACTATAGATTGTATTTATATTTTTTCGATTTTTAAGTTATAATTTTTTAAAAATCCAACAATTGTGTTTATTCGAAATGGAAAGAAACATTTTACGTAGGTCTCGAAAAGGCTCAAATTCCGCGCCATTTCACTGACTTATCGTCATGATTGAAATCTCGTTGTACGAGATCTGGAAATCACTTACATCATGATGTTGACATTATGGTTTATAATAATTAATAAAAATAAAACTTTCTTTTTTTGTAAAAAAAATAAAATTTCTATGAAATTAATATTTCCTGATGTTTTTTAGTAATATTTTAATGCTGCCCATCCCAAATAAAATTTTTCATTCGCGAAAAGAACTTCCTCGACACTGCGGTTTTTTCTGTTTACCTGCACACAAACTCTAACAATTCCAGTTGCTGATTAATTTAATTTTAAAAATAATATTTAACTCAGACTGCTTTTTTATTCTTAAGAAATCCTTAATTTTTAATATCTCATCATTTATATTTATAAACAAAATTTTCAATTAATAAATAATTCTAATTTAATATACATCAAATTTATAATTTATTCTATCAATTAATTTTTTAGAATGTAAATTTTAATCTTTTCCCAATTTCATAGTCTTTAAATAAGAAAAAAATAAAGTTAGTAATTATTGTATTAATTCGAATTTTTAAATAGTAAAAAAAAACTCATTTTTCTGAAAAAACTCTCTCATACTGTCTCAACAAAAATAAAATGAAATAAATATTCACTTATCACCGAACGATATTCAGCACTTTATAATCATTTTTCACAATCAGAAAAAGTTTATGCATATATTTTCTAATCTAATAATTTTTCTTCCTTTAATTAATATGTTGAAATATAATAATTAATTCGTATTTCTGTGTGACTACAAGATCTCGTGCTTTCGTGAGTTGTCTGCCCTTGTCACTTGGTGCCATGTTCACCAAATCCCTAAATCGTAGCAGCCGGCTTCTTCTTTCCTCTACATAAGTAATAATATCATTATTATTATTACTAAGTTATTAATACTGTCATAGTGACGTTTCCCCCACTTAGGCGACGTCACTCGTATCTACTGTTTAATATACTCCCTTTTATATATATTTAATCATTACTATTTATTTCCCTTCTTCATTCACTCGCCGGCGATCCTTTTTTTTATTTTTATTTTTTAAAGTCAATGGCAACTTCCCCTAAATTCCTTAAAAATACGTTTTGACCGAGCCGTCAACGAATCTTTTACCTCATCCATCTCATCGGTAAGAAAATTACTTCTTCTTTTATATACTTAAAAAAAAAAAAAAAAATCTATGGATTTTTAAAGTTCATCTTTTTTTTTTTGTTATCCTCAAAAAAAAAAAATCACTTTTGAAAGTTTTTTTTATTTAAAATTTACTTTTTAAAAAATTCGTTTTTATTCATGATTACTTTATTCCTTGTGTTTGATGCTTCTTAATTTTACATATATTCGTTTCTGGTTTAGTTATAGAAACGATTTTCATTTCACGTCATTCGTCTCTTTTACTCCCCCCCCCCTTTTTGTTGGGGGGTGCTAAATAATTTTTTCCTTCATGGTCGACTTGAATTAAAACCAGGATCAACCGATAAATTTAAAATTTATGTGCTGCTTGTTATAAAAAAGGATTACAATTACATAAATAGACTTGATCATTTTTTTAATACCTGATCTGTAGTCTATCCATTAAATTAAAGTGGAATTTTGTGATATCCTCTTGTTTACAAACCAAGAAGTTTTGACACCCGCCACTTGTAAAATCCTAAGGTATTTACCACCCAGGTAATTAAATCTTTTACTAAAACACTGAAAAAAAATCCATTCAGTTTATTTGAAAAAGGCAATGAAGTTTAATCACTGAGAATATTCAGTAAGTTAAATTTTATTTAAATTTCTCTTTATTTGCTTTTAACCTTTTATTATTGCATCAGTGCGATCATTATTGTATTGATTGATCGTCAATGCTGTCTAATAGTCTAATGGTTTTTGTAAAATTTAAATGTGTACCTTGATAAATAATGACAATATTTAGGAAAGATGTCAATCAGAAACACCAATTTCTTTCTTTATCAGATTTTAAGTATAAATTTTGTCAAGATTTTTCTAATTTATTAAAATTCAATTAAAATCTTTTTTTTCTGTCATTCCTTGAAAAAAAAATATTTAATTTAAAAAAAAAAAAAAAAAAAATGTCTATCTTTCATTTGAACCGCAAAGTTAAATGTCTCAGTCTCGTATTTGATTCGTTGATGTTTCTCTTCTTTTTTTATGCTTTAAAGGCCCTCGCTATTTTTATTTAATTCATGTTTCCTTTACCTTTGAAAAATTATCTCCTTCCACTTAAAAAAAAAAAAATATGTATAAATTATTTTTTTTTAAAATGGTCGGGGGGCAAGCCTCCCCTAAATGATAGAATTCACCGATTGGACCCCGATTTTGTAACCTCCCTTGTAATCCAATATGGGACGGTGTTGAAAATTTAGATATTTCCTCCCTTATCGCTGGTTAGTTATTCGTTACTTACTACTACTATAAATCACGATGTTTTAGAAGCGGATTATTTTTGGCTTTGTTGCTAGATCTCCATTCTCTTCCTCCTACCATTGCTGATAAAGGAAAAAAATCAGTATACTAGCAGGAATTGATATTTATTTATGATGTGTGGCATGCAGCAATTTCGCCATTTAGTTTGTTGAAATAAAACTAAGTCATTTACTTTCTAGGTGTCAGTTTTTTTAATTTTGTGAACTCTATCTGCCTGCCCACTGAATGCCTGCCAGATCATCTGGTGGTCAGATATAAAACGATCTCTAGAGATCATCCAATAGTGGACACATTACAATGGTGAGAATAAAAATGACCTCATATTGAACATAAAACATTACATTGCCGTTAAAAAGAAAAAAAAATAGACATCAGCAATTGCTTTTATAATTTATAATACGAGGAGTGCTGAAGTTCTCGGACCAACTAAAAAAAAATAATAACCTCATTTAATCAGGTTTTGGGAAGTCGGTCGGGCCGATAACTTTTCAGCACCCCTCGTATTTCAAATTAGTTCATCACTGTAGTAAGTAATGTATCCATGTCATATGTACTCTATCGTACGTATGACATTTTATGATGACCATATGAAATTTGTTATAAAATATTCTTCAACTTCTCTCTTTCTCTCTCCTATCCCACCCAAGAGAATATTTTTTGTGCAAATATACATAAAATTCGCCAGAAAGGTCGAAGTTAAAGCCCTATTCAGTTATTTGGATTCCTTATTCTTTATTGCTAAAGCTAAAACTAACCTATTTTTGTGATCTCACCTTTTATTTCTATTGTATTTTTCTAGCCTAAATAAGCCACCAATTCTCATTTATGATTTATTTGAACAGTTTCTTCCACTTTATGTACTAATGTGGTTTGGATTGTTCTTTACACTGTTTATAATTTATTTCTAACACTGTAAATAACCACTTTTCCTATTTGAGAATCTTTCAGTTATAAATAAATTACAGGTTGGAAATATGTTTGATAGTGTGATATATTTTGTTTGTTTGGAGCCAACATGTAGTAGTTTATCCATTTTAACACTAACAGTTATGCTTAAAATGTTGAATATTTTATGCTTTTCCTTAATTAATGTGTGTAAAATATTTCATCTTCATTGCTTACTGATCACTTAACACTTTAAATTTCTGTAAAGCTAATCCTCAAATCTCCTTAACTCTGTCAGTAATCTTAAGTCCTTATGACTTAGTTTATTTTTATTCTTTGTTTAACGTTTTAAAAGCTTTGTATTGATTCATGTGCAACTTGTTAAATATCAGAAAACTGGTTTCATCTAGGTATCAATTATAAATTATTAAACGGAGATGTTTTGTGATGATTTAAAAGATGCATTTTTTTTTTTTTTTTTTTTTTTGCTGGTAAACATTTGTCTTTTAGATATTTTTTGAAAACAAAAAAAATTGAGATTAAAAGGAACATTTTAAGAAAAATTCCCCATCGGTGGTTTGAGAGGTCTGCTCACTCCTATCACTTTCCAATGTGATTTCTTATCAGCTCCACACATCTTGGCCACAAAAACACACACACACACACACACACAGAGCTAAACATGAATATTTCATGCAATAATACAATAAAATTATTTCTAGTTCCAAGAATTCCTTTTTGAATTTTACTGATTGAGAAATTTAAGCTTATATTTAATTTAATTGTCAGTTCCATGCCATGGACATCAAATACTTTTTCATTCTCAATACTACAGCAGACTTTATCATTGTTAATCTGTTCCTATCAATCTATTACTATTTTTTATAGAATGAAAAAAATAATTTGAAATTTGTTTCATCCTGGATGCTTCCAGCTTTGAAGTACCTGTAATTATGGTCATATAGTTTGCATTTGTGTAAAAAAAAACATTCTTTAAATTATTCATTGTTTAGTCCTTTTGCCAATTTGTCTACAAATTTATTGTGCTTTCAATTTTAAGTCAACTATTGCTGTTTTATTTAAGATTTTAATAAAAGTTGTTGCTTCCTCCACTTTGTCCTGCTTAGTAGCCTTTTCAGGGTAAAATTCTATTTGGAATCACGTCTCATTGGTATTCTAGATGCATTAATCAAAATTCTACCCAAAAATGGATAATGAATCAACCGAAACAAATATCAGGAATGTTTGTGTTTTTAAAAAACAAAAAAGAAAATTTAATAAAAATATCCAGAACTCAGGAATTGCATTTCTTTTCTAATGAAAACTGTTTTGCTTCATTTAAATATAGAGAAAAGGATTATATTAACAGAGGTCCTATGTTTTGTGGTTGCAGTAATTTTCTAATTTCTTTTTATATTCATTAGCAGTTGTCTTTGTTTAGCTTGATCTTTTTTCCTTTTATTTTTGCTTGTTTATGAATAGAACCAGGTTTATGTAGAAAAAAAAATTGCAAAAACAAAATAAAAAAAAAAAAAATGTTCACATGGCACTTGAGTTTAAGTTAATAAAATTTATTTGTAAATAGCATAGTTTTTGTTTTTCTTTTTGCAAAATAATATATACTTTTTAAATTAATTAAAATTTGAATCACAGATGTATTTTAATAAAGCTTTGAGCCTTTTCATCTTTTTAGAGTTTTCTGGTTGACTTCTATATTATGCCATGCTGTTTGTTTCTATTAATATATAAAGTGATAGCTCTATGACTACCTTAATGAAGCTAAGAACTGACAATTATGAAGTATATGCATAATCTGATGTTTCCAGAAGGTGAGTGAAATATATACTGAGGTGGAAAGCCAGAAAGATCTTGTGGAATGAATAATCTATTCTTGCCTTAGGCATTTATAAAGTAGTTGTGGTTTCAAATTACATTAATGGCAAATTAACCTCAAATTGATTTATATATTTGGAATTATTTCTGTACACCAAAAAGGTGAAGGAAAAAAAAAACTCAGCTTCAGTAATTTTTATTGATTTCAATGAATCACTGTTTTTGTGTACCTCAGTAGTTTATCCAAAGCTTATCTTTTCATTTTAGGATTTATTTTTATCTTATAATTTAATTCTGACTGTATTTGTGTATACACTATAAATTCAAAAATTTGAGCAATTGAAATTAAGTATGATACACTAAATCTTGGCCCTTTTTAATGTCCAATGACAAAAACATCAGCAGTTAATTCCTTTTAGAAAGTACAGACTGCTTCATCCCCTGAAAGTAAAAGATGTTTAATAATACTATTTGCCTATTGTCAGTTGAACTGCCTTTTCCCCAAAATGAAAAGTGAATAAGATACTTTTAGAATTTTCTTTTGTGGGGTACAAGATTTTATTATGGGCATTAAAGCAGGCATCTTTCATGGAAGTGAGAGTAAGATGAAAGAAAAGGTATAATTACCGTCAACAGCAATTTGGATGGGGCTTTTAGGTGGTTCAGGTGATCAATTTGCTCTCTTTTTTTCTTTTCTTTTTTTCTCTCCCCTCCCTCTCTCTCTAATAAATATGTGCACCAGGTCTTAAAAAAAGAGAGAGAAATTTTGTAAATGGGGATAAGATATGCACACATTAATAATATTCTAATACACACACACACATTAGTGAATATACATAATGTCCTATGTCGATAACACAACTTTGATTTTCATGCAGGTTTGCATAAACTCCAAGTTGTGCTATCAATATAGGGTATTATGTATATTTACTAATATATACTTAATAGTTTTATATAACATTGAGCACTGTTTTTATAACA